TACAGACTCCCGGCAACATCGGCACCCAGTAACAATTCGATCGGGCCAGGTTTCTCAGCATCAGAGACTTCAGCATCGAATGATGCCATTTCTTCTGTCCATTGACCTTGAAGAACTGGAACAATGTCACCACATATAGTCGTCTCATCCAGAACTTCGAATGTATAGGTAGCATCTCGTCTAGAAATCGTAATATCATAGCAATTGTGGTTTATTAGAACCTCTCTCCCACCAAATAAACAATGAACGATTTTCTCATAGCGTTTCGGTCTATAACCCAGCTGTGCCGCAGTGGTTTTCAAAATATACGACCTCTGTGAACCGCTATCAATCAAGGCTCTCACAACTCTAGATCTACCCACGCCTATCAGGTTAACTCGAAGTGTCTGTAAAAATACCTGAGTGCTAGTGTAATTAGCTAGAGTCTGTTCTCTTTGAACATCCCTCGTAACAGCATCTCTCGCAGCATCCGCTCTACTGTTGGTCGGCTTATCGGTAGACTTATTCTCTGTTACGTTAGGAGCATCTGGACACATTAAAACGACGTGAGATCTTTGACATAAAATACATCTGAGACGTCCCCTACACCTTTTTGACTGATGTCCTACTTTCAAACAGCGATAACAAGCCTTTTTTTGAACGAGTGCCTCTCTTCGTTGTTCATGGGACATCTTTTGTGCTTTGAAGCAGTCTGAACTATCGTGTGACCCTGAACGAAAAACACATGTGGCAACCTCGCAATTCATGAGCCCTGTAGCTGTAGGAATCTCTCTATGTTGACTGAACTGCTTATCCCTAATACGACCGGCATGACTCTCCCTGCTGTCCCTGGTAGTTGGTGTTGATTTGTTCATTCCGAAACCCTCAGTAGCTAAATCTATTCTTTGTTCATTCTCCACCTCTTGTCTAAGAAATGACATCAGATTTTTGAGACGCATTTCTAATGAAGAAACAGAAAGGTCAACCCTTGAGCTCACGCTGGTGTTCTCTGGGAATGGAGAATCGTTGAAAAATGATGAACGCTGCCAAACTCTAATTAATTCTTGAGGCAAACAGGATTCGATCAATGGAAAGAGCATAGCAGAACACTTGTCCGATGATATGCCTAATGTCCCAAGTGCTCGCAATTGTGTCTCTATTTGATCGTACAGAATAGCAATCTCAAATTTTTGCTTGGAGACAGAACTACTCAGTATCAATTTCAAAAGTTCCCTGATGTAGACTTCTATCTGCAAGTCCTCTCTGCCAAATCTACTTTGCATGCTATCAATTATTTTATCATAATTCTCCCCCATAGCTGGATAACTTTCCACTAAACGCCTAGCTCGGCTACCTGGGACAGTAGCTTGAATCAAGTATTCAACCTTGTCGCTTTTATCTATAGAGTTATCGTTATGGATTTTCTTGAATTGTGCCCAGAAAGATAACCAGTCTTTCACACTTCCATCATAATGTTTAAATTCTATTCTTGGTAGCTTGAACTTATGCATACCTGTGTTTGTATTTACTGCCGAGTTATGAGTAGAACTAGCCGTGCGACTGTGTACACTCCCTGGTACACTCGTACCTGAAGTAGCTGAATCACCCTGTAATTTCTCGTACCTTATCCTTGATGTGGCATACTTCTTATTGTAGTCCTCACAGCCCTCAATTTCACTCATCAACTCATCTTCCGTGGCACTGTCTAACACGAGCTCATAAATTTCATTGTTCAGTATTTTCAATTCGTCGAATTTTGTGGTTAGAAGTTCAAAAGTCCTCACGATCAACCGAATCGGCACTGAGTATTGCATCAAGCCCGTTTGCATTCTTTGTAAACAAGCCCCGAGTCACTTTCTGGCTTTTCTTCAAATTAATAACATTAGCCATGTCTTATGTTTACTTTTATACTCCTGTGAAGTTGGCTCCGACTAACTGGCAACGAATTTCCGGCACAGCACATAAAAGGACGAGACACTTCTGGGAACGCGGCAAAGTCCGTAGGTTAGGTAAACAAAACAGACTTGGTCAAACCACCCAACCGTTCACACTCACAATCCAGTATTGATATCGTATATACCTGTCGCGACTTGTTATTCTTGACAGTCCTGTCACGGTCGCCACTATATTCCGTTCGTACCCAAAAGAAGAACTACCCGTTCTTCCCGGTTTACGATGGTTCGAAAAACGAGATAAAAAATCACTCGATAGGTAGGTATACGAATTTATTACGATGTACCTACAACACAAATACACGAAAACAACAAACTAGGTATAGGTATAATACTGGATTGTAGAAGTCTTTCTCAGTCCAAAAATACAAAATTATGATCGTAATGGCGAACACACTACATTTTTTACGAACAAAAAACCGAAGAATCTCGCAATTCGCGTGGGCGATTCACCTCGGCTCATCAACAACAACTGTCGATTTTATGGCGCGCACGCGCATCGCCCGAAAATGATCGCGGCGTTGCCAGAGTAACAATATATCCTCATGTCTCCGACAACCTTCAAAAAACAGCAAAATCGGCTCAATGATGATCTAAAACTAAAATCGAAATACGCGGTCGCCTTATAGCGCTATAAGCGCTTGTCGTTTCGAGCCGCTGGTTAGACCTCACTGAGTGACGTCACTCACGGAGCATGCAACTCGAACGATGAGAACTTGTTATTTTCATAGACCTCAATCTCAAATTTGTGATTAGGTTTTCTCAATTCAAAATTCCTTTTCACGTCCTGTATGATGAAAACCAATCCATCATACATTCAAAAACAAATGCCCAGATGACAGGAGTATGACAACAAATCATAATTCTATGATGTCAGTTCGTTATAGTTTTAGTTATATTATAGGGAGATGAGAATTGTGTATATCATGGATAATGGCTGAAAGAATAACTGAACTCCAGGTTACTGATGAGGATTTGATATTCGAAATGACTTTATTCGAGTGAAGTCACATAACCTGTTTGTGAGAGATATAATTCCCATATCACTGATATGAATGATTTTTTTGAAAGTTTCAAGCTCGTCAAGATATACAAGTATACTTCTCTTATACATTTCAATTTTCATTTCAATATTGGTGAGTTATATTTTTATATCATAATACATCATCATATTTTTTTTTGATTTGAGAGATGATGTTAAATTTTTCACGTTCTCTTCTCGAATGTTCAACAGATATAATCCAATATACAACGTGGCAAATAGCCAGGAAAGAAGTTGTTTTCTGTTAGTATGATATGATGTGCATATGTTTATATGAAGGAGAATACAAGTTCCCCACTTCAGAAGATTTTGTTTTCAAATTCTCATCCTGTGTGTTCAATAGATGTAATTCAATGTTTGTCGTGGCATATAGCCAGGAAAGTAGTGGTTTTCTGTTGAATGAACCAAGAAAGAATTGATATTTGGGGTCTAGGCACCATTTTGAGATATTTCTTTCAATAGGAAGTGGTACCTCACAAGAAGCGACTTCTGATTACCAATACGACACCAGAATATCAGACAAGAATTTTTATGCATAAATAAATGGCGGATAATAATGTTTGAAATATCATAGCATGATCCTTTCCACAAGAGGACTATAGCCGATCTTCAACTCTCTATAGACTTCTACAGAAGTTCTTCATCCAGAGAATTGTCTAAATAGAGCTGTCTTGAAGAAAATAATAATAATCAGTTTTTTTTCGATTCGTCCACAAAAATTAATGCATTAACTGAATATGGACAGCCATACAAATTTTGATTAACGATCTTATTCTATCATATTCAAAAATTCCTATTCAAATTTCTCTCTGTCGTTTTATTTATAATATTGAAACATCGGGTATCACTCTACCTGTACATTTGATCGATACAGTCATGATTGAAATATTATATATTACCATATATGGACTCTGATGATATAATCATACTATGAAACATGCATCTCACTGAATTCAACCAAGAATTTTTATATTCATGTGACGAAAAGAACCGTGACCAACTCAATATATTCCTTACTAAACCTTGCATAGGATCCAACATGGAATAATGTAATGCATCGATGAGAATGCACTAGTCGAATACGACACAAACAACCCCTGACTAACCAATATCCATCTGTAATAAACCCCATTTTGTTTGACATCACATGAAACGCCAAGCCGCAGCAGTCGAACTATTGAAGTAAACAGCTTCAGGAGTCCACAATGGAGTTCTTAGAGGTTACGTATTTTCATTCATACAATGGAGACTGGTTATTTTTAGAAAGAAAAATAATTCCGTCGAATATTATTTTCTTGGTTTTGATACATAATGTGAGACTTCTCAAGACTGACCGGGAATCTGGAACATCAAATCTTTCTTAAGTCGCCAATTGAATAATAGAACATATAAACAATATACTTCTACTGGATACAGGAAACTTGAAATTGGTATTGGTAACGTATGTTAGGTTAGGTTCACTGTGAAAATTGTAAGCGCAATGTTATACGATATGATATTATTATTTGCCACAAGAGGCTGAATTTTGAAATGAATCTTCAAATCAGTTATGAGCAAAATATATATCTGAAAAATAATTCAACCTCGTGTGATATTCGGTTGAAGAAATCGCACACCCAGATTGTGTTTGAGAATCGAATGAATTCAAAAATTATGTATTCATTAGAATTTCATGTAGGTTCATAAACAAATTGAGTTTGCGTCGCAGTTTTAGTATCGATAATAGATTCCAAGCTTACAAATTCTTGATTTCGATACCTATTGGAGTTGCATAAAAATTCCAGTTTAGAAAGTAACATTATATTTTCTCATTTTATATCAATTCGAAGTAACTACAAGTGATGGAGAATGAGGATATCATTCTGTCATCGAATCGTCAGAAAATTCCAGATTCATTTCGCTGTGTTAATTGGATTGTCTTGAGCCCGTATAGAACTATTTTTTGAATGTAAGCTTTCGCATGTCTTGACGACGTGACATATCTCCTGGATCGAGAAAATATTCTTTTCTTATAGGTGGTACGAGTATTAAAGAAGATCGTAATGACTAATACGCCCTACTACTTTCAAAACCTCTTCATCGACAGCGACAAGACGACACAGCATGGTGGCCCCCAGGTGAACATGATCTAGGATCAAAGAAGTCTCTGTACCGCTTTCATAATTCTTCTTCGATTTGATCTGCACTAGGTGGAGAATGTTCAACATATTCAATAGAATATACCTGCGAATTTGTATGTACTGAACTGTTAGTCAGTATCATATCCAAAATTTCCTGCGAAATGGAGGCTGCTATAATGTCACCATTATTGACTCAATTCTCCTTGAGCACGTATCATTTAAATCGATGGAATGTCGTCAATCCGATGTGACATAAACATTGAGGAAGACATTCATATGAATATTTGCTATGGAATTCGCAGATGTTTGAATCTCTATTATTTGGTTCTTCATTTACCACATATAGAGGTACTCATAAACTGTGGTGCTTCTTGTTCTTGATCTACCTGTAAGTAAAATAATGACAAAGATGTAGAGAATAATATGACTGAATGCATGAATCCATGAAATTGTATATCAATATACAAGTTATATGAGACACTATTTCGTCGCAAGCGTTGTTTATAAACTTTTGAAGAACTATTGCGACAATATGTGTGTTACATACAATGATTTCCATTTTGCATTCATTCGTACTCTTTTATTCAAAGAGTATCCATCAATAGAAACATCAGATATCAGAAAAATATATGAAGTAGTTTGCAACATTTGAATGTTCATTCTCCAATCACACAAAACTCCACAGGCGGCTAGCGACACAGATTCCACTTTGCTGTGAGACTCTCGAACATTTCTAGCCAAAAGCTTCGCTCACGACCAAACCTGAGAATTATATCATTGAAATAGCGAATCACTATTTCCCTCATTACTAAATACCTCCACAGTTCATGTTTCAGGAAAGAAGAAAAATTAAACATGAAGAAATAAATAAAGTGTTGGTTGAGTAGGGAATCATACCCGGTACCAGGGACATATTGTTACGTTATTCGGGTGCAGAAGCGAACACGATACTATTTATTTTCGAACTGATTTATTTGAACTGAAGAAACACTAATTTATATCGAACTCATAACTACTATTTATGTAAAACGATTTATAACACGCGGTATATAACTGTCTCTCTGACACTTGCTGTTTGACTGACTGACGGCAGTTAGTCGGCCGTTTATATATGAGATCACTTGGCAGGCTTTGGTTCGAGATCGTTCTCGAATGATTTTGCGCCTCCTTCTTTTTGTTCTAGAAGCTTCTTAAAACAAACCTCTCTCTCTAATTGTTCCATCGGTTGTTTCCAGAACATTCCAGAATCTTCTGTGACGTTATTTGTCACTGCGGCATATATTGAGTGTTCAGAAATATGCTGGTGCATGTAGGAATCATTGGGAGGTTGAAGAACGATCTGGGATGCGTGTTTAAGGATGAGCGTTGTACTCCTGCCTTCCTGCTGATGATTCTAGTGTCTCGTTGAGGGGAATATCATTAAACTGCCCCCTCCTTAAAACGCATTCCTCCTGGAATGCACTCTGATCACTATGAAGATAGGGAGAACTTGTTTCATTTTTACAACGTGCAGTATGGTAGAAATAGCATGGCACTGTCTTCTCTCTTGGAGTTCCCTTGGAGTTCCAGCAGCATACCAGTATTTCAACTCCGGTGAATCTAAACACAACCTCCAGCATGTTCCTTACAACTCTCCAATTCAAGCCATCCAGTCCACACCCCAACTTTGGAACAGCTATCTTCTGTATGTCCTTCTCGAGAATGGTGCTTCGCAATTCGACTAGTGTCTCCCAGAGGTCCTTGTGAGTGGGTTCCTCAGAAGATCTTCCTTTCGTTATAAGATAAAACCTTTTTCCTTCAGCGCTGATATCTTTTATTTCTAGTGCTCGACCGACGGAGGGACCTTGTTGATGAAGCTCCTCTAACTCCCCGAATTTCCTCATGAACTTGTTTGCTATTCCTTGAGACATCTGAAGATTCTTGGCGACGCAGTGAGCTAGTGCGTATTCTACAGGAATGGCAAAAAGGTCGCGGTGCTCTTCCTTGGTGACGCTAAATCTTGCTTTTGATGAACCACTGTATGTCCCAATGAATTCGTCGAATGTAAGCTCCTTTTCTTACGGACAAATTTGTTGAACTTGGTGATCTTGTCTTCCCTCGAATGGTGCTAGTCTGTTGAAATGAACTACTCTTGGTTTGCCACTGGGTTTTTTACTGATGCGGTAGATGACATCGTTGATCTTCTTCTTGACGGTATAAGGTCCTTCCCAAGATCTCTGTAGTTTTGGACAAATACCTCGTTTCCTTTGTGGATTGTACAACCACACCAGGTCTCCTTCTGCGTATCTTGCACCCCCAGCTCTGATGTCGTATCGGTCTTTAATGCGATCGCTGGCGATTTTCAGATTAGAGCGAAGCAATTCGTGAATATCGTTCATCTTTCTCATCAGATTCGTGACGTAATCTTTCCCCACTATGTCCTCACCAGGTCTACATCCGAAGACCAAGTCACATGGAAGCCTCATCTCTCGTCCAAATAGAACCTTCGCCGGAGTCTGTCCTGTAGATTCCTGTACTGCTGATCTGTAGGCCATCAAGAAGAAAGCAAGATGTTGATCCCAGTCTTGTTGGTGTTGATCTACAACTTTGCAGAGATACCTCCCTATGGTTCGGTTCATTTGCTCCACCATGCCATCTGACTGTGGATGCAATCGAGTTGTTCTTGTTTTCTTGATTCCTAACTTCTCGCTCATCTTCTTAAACACTTCACTCTCGAAGTTCCGGCCCTGATCAGAGTGAAGTTCCAATGGCACACCGAAACGACTGATGAGTTGATTCATTAGGACATCGGCGACAGTTACGGCTTCCTGGTTAGGGATCGCATACGCTTCCACCCACTTGGTGGAGTAGTCCATGCAGACAGGGATGTATTTATTTCCATTATCAGTCACTGGAAACGGCCCCGCAATATCCATAGCAATCCTCTCGAAAGGGCTTCCAACATTGTACTGTCTCATGGGTGCCCTTGGTTTACGATGAGGCCCATTGCTGGCAAAGCACACAGTGCATTTACGGCACCACTTCCTGACATCGTCACTGCAGTTCACCCAGTAGAACCGCTCTTGTACCCGCTGCAGTGTCTTCCTCACCCCTAGATGTTGCCCTGAAGTTCCATCATGTACATACATATCCAAGTACTTCCGATACTCGGCCCCTAGGAATGACCAACTGCATTCGATTATCCGACCCATCATCGCTCTCGAGATTCCTCTTGAGCAGGTCATCTTCTAATACCAAGGAGTCCCACTGACTCCAGTACGCCTTCAAAGTCTGTGAAGATGGTGCTTCTTTTTGCCAAGAAGGACGGCGATTCGCTTTCTTCCATTCTCGAAGCTTCCGGAGTTCTGGTTCTTTTTCTTGCTCTTGCTTGATTGCTGCAGGTAACCAATCTCCATTGACAACAGTGGCTCTATAGAGGGCTGCTTCCTTATCCTCAAAACGACTACAATGCGAGCACTCAGGTGGACATGGCCGTCTGGACAATGCATCTGCATTCTTATGGCTCGTCCCCACTGGGTAAACTGGTCTTTCTGGATCATCCTGCTCTAGTTTTCCTGCAGCTACTCGAACTGGTTTCTTCTCCTCATCCAAGAGGCCCTTGATGACGTTCATAAGGTCTCCAGTTGGATCTTGCCTGGGATTGTCTGCTATGTTCGTACTGTCGACGGCTTGGAATTTTGTTGCTTCTCGTGTAGCTTCTATCGCGGCCTCGATTTCTAGCGCAGCTGCCAGAGCACTGGGAGAGTCTTTAGGTCGAGTCAACCGAGCCGCTTTCCGCATTTCCATATCTCGCAATCCATTCAGGAACGTTTGGGTCGCAAGACAGTGTATCAGATACTCAGGAGTTGATGGGTAGGCACACCGAACCAATCGAGCTACTTCCATTTCGAATTCCTGTAGGCTCTCATTGTCTCCCTGTCGACGGTTCTTCATTTGTGATCGTAACACTTGCTGTAGATGTTTTTGACCATATCGCATGTTGAGGCGTTCGATGAGATAATCGTAGTTATCGGATTTATCCTCCGGAATAGCTTGCTAGATGTTCAGTGCATTACCCCGTAGAGCTACTGTAAGAGCTACCACTTTGTCTTTTGATGTCCACCCATTGGCTTTGGAAGCTGCTTCAAATTGCTTCAGGTAGTTTGGCCACGATGTTCTCCCATCAAATGTAGGCGGCTTCACTCGATTGGTAGTAACCACTGCATACGGCCCTATTGTTGTTTCCATCACGAGTCGTTGACCATTTACTGACTCTTCCATCATAGCTCTCCTGCGAGATTGTAAATTCAGTTCATCTTTTTCGAGCTGCAGTTCTTTCTTCAGATCTTCTATCTGAGTCGCGACTTGAGCTGTTATCTGAGCCAATACCTCCTGCCGTTGAGCTGAGATCTGAGAGGCGATCTGATCTTGCTGAGCAGAAATCTGTGCCGAGATCCCAGCCAACATCGATTCCGCTGAAGCTGGTTCCTCGAAGGTGAACGTCTCTGGATCTTGACCCGCACTCACCATATACTCTTTGAGACGATGCTGAAGTGTAGCCTTGATCCCTGTTGAGTCGAGATCTGTCTCCTCCAACTCGCGTTTCTAGTCCACCACTTTCAACTCGTGTAGTTTCTTCATCACTGTTCACTTCACACTGGAATATCCCACACTTCTGACACCAATTGTTACGTTATTCTGGTGCAGAAACGAACACGACACTATTCATTTTCGAACTGATTTATTTGAACTGAAGAAACACTAATTCATATTGAACTTATAACTTCTATTTATGTAAAACGATTTATAACACGCGGTATATAACTGTCTCTCTGACACTCGCTGTTTGTCTAACTGACGGCAGTTATTCGGCCGTTTATATATGAGATCACTTGGCAGGCTTTGGTTCGAGATCGTTCTCGAATGATCTTCCGTATCCTTCTTTTTGTTCTAGAAGCTTCTTAGAACAAACCTCTCTATCTAATTGTTCCATCGATTGTTTCCAGAACATTCCAGAATCTCCTGTGACGTTATTTGTCACTGCGGCATATATTGAGTGTTCGGAAATATGCTGGTGCATATAGGAATCATTGGGAGGTTGGAGAACGATCTGGAATGCGTGTT